TTTTTTTTTGCAGATAAACAACACAACTGGAAACGTATTGAAACAAAATGTCGAGAAAGTGAAACAACTTTGGCATGGCTACTCTAGTTATTTAATTCGTGCTCATCGGTCGGCGTAACTGTATATTTATGACGGAGTATATTTACTGCTGCTCACAACTCATAAGTTTTGTGTAAATATCATAACAGGATTCATCTTCAAGATAATAAAGTGAATTATATGACAATCTGTGTAGGTTCTCCAAAAACTTCAACAGACATGTATTCATGCATCATCCGTGAACTATTATGGTGGCTAAGGTTGTGCATTCCAAAATCAACTCACAGCCGAAAACAGTCTGAGTTTCGATGGCATTCCGCAACTCAGTTTCACTGGGGGGACTTAGGCTTGTTCGATCGATTGGAGCGGGACTGAGAACCTTCAAGTTCATATAGGGTTAGACAAAAACATGAGGGGCATAGAAGAGTAGATGGAACATACCTGTTGAGTTGGCCCATGAATATCCGGCTCACCATCACTGATGTCTTGGACAATGGTGGCGGTAACACAGTCCCCTTCCTGAAGAAAGTGAAAATGTATCCCAACTTATTTTCAGTCGTCCAATCACGAAATTCGCTATTCGCACGTAGAATAGGAATTCGTGATGAGACTGTGCGATCTGATGAGTGTTACAACACAATATTCACGACCACCTACAGCAATCTGGCACAGTTGGTTACATCACTCTTCACACAAGTACATTCAAAAATATGAAGACGACGAAAATTTCACACGTGTCTTGCCCAAAAGCAGTGCGTGCTGCGTAAGTAACTTGAGAGATCGCTCATTTGAAGCAGATAAACAGAAAGCGACTATCCATCAAAAAATTGTAGAACACGGGAGGGTTCTGATAAAATGAACAATCGTGCAAAACGTTCACAAAAAAGGAACCGTGCCACTAACACACCACTCCGAGTTATTTCTCTAGAGACTACCTGTTGTATCGAATGGTATGTGGGGTTACAGAACATTGTCTGTTGAAGCTCGCCCATTCCACAGTTCCGTAGCAACTGTGGCACCGGGCCTGCGGGTGGACTACTCATCAACGTGGGTGGAGGAGGAATCCCTTGGCTTCGTGCAGAATTCTGCTAACCATAGCATTATGTCTCAGTGATTGGCATCAGAATAATGTTTTAGTTTAATATTTTCTCAACTCTCTTGCATTACCCACACTTTTGAATTCGAAACAATTACGAGGGAATTTAAAAATAAAGTAGAATGAATCAAGGGGAACTGGATTATATTTTCGATCAAAATTTTTCTGATAGAGTTGACAATTAGCTAATCGAATCGGGAAATCATAAATAATCCACTTACAGGTGCACTATTGAGCACTTCTTGAAGGGCATTCGCGTCAACAGTTAGCCCTTCCATCTGAGCTAGTTGAGACTCTAATAGCTCCCGCTGCTTTTTCGCTTTCTTCTTCAGCTTCTTTTTCTTATTTTTCGTCATATTCTCTTGTACCTGCAATTGTAATAACAATAAAAATAAAGAATCACCTAGAGAATACTACTTGACCAGCTGCTCATAACGAAGCTACTCTGAAACAAGTAAAATGACCGTACTTCCAATCTACCTTTTTTTGAACATGACTGGGTGCTGTGCTTACGGCTGATCCGCTCAATTTCAAATTCATTTTAGTAGCAACAACAGCATGCTGCGCCATAAGCTACAAAGCAAAAACTACTGATTATGAAGAAAAACAGCTCCCAATGTGCGGAGTGAAGAGGAACATGATCTACACAGAATACGAGCACAGCTCTTCGAAACAGATGAACATCGAATGTTAAAAGAGCTATTCTACCTTGATTTCCTCATGGCTCATCGTGACCAGAACATTTTCCGGCTTGATATCCGTATGAATAATTTTGCTTTTCTCATGCAAATACCTGAGACCTTCGAGTACCTAAATGAGCGAAAAATTAGCTTTCACTCATCCAAAGAGAAATGTCGCAGAACCCTACATATTGGATTGGACATCTCACCTGGACCAAGTTCGACATAGATGTTATTCTCAACTTATTATATTTGCAAAACTTCAGTGTATTTACCTGTTTGGTGATTTTCCGAACCTGTTCGAGTGGAAGACCCTGGTAATTTGATCGGATAATTAATTTCAGGAGATTGCATCCAAGGACCTGTGCATAAAAAAAGGATATTACAAAGAAAACGAATGAAGAACATGCGAATGAATAACGTGAAAAAGATATTATTACCTCAAAGACCATACATGTATGAACACCGTTGACACCACTAACAGTGAATTCGTCGAGCAGTTGGACCACCCTCTGACATCCGGGGTCCTCAGGATCAGCCTCCCGCACGGCAAGTAAAAGCTGAAAACATTGATTTTTCCCCGTTTCGTCAACGCAAAAGGAAAGGCGAAGCTCCGCGCATGACTTACTTTAATTTCATCTTGTGCAGCTTCGGTGTAGTGGTCCGCCGATTTTACTATTTTCATTGCAACAAATCGCTTGTCCTTGGTGTCCCAACATAGCCAAACAGTTGAAAAGTGACCCCAACCCAACTTACGAATAACGTGATACCTGAAAAGCAAATGAATCTTTAGAAGGTTTCGAAGTAATTTATGATGGGGCTAGCACACATGTTCTCGCAGCTGAAGGAAGATCGATGTTCGCTCGAAATCTCAGTGGACAGGTTAGGTTTACGAAACCCTAAGATAAGCAACGAGCTTCTTTCTGAACACTAACGTACAAAACCTAGGCTCGAAGGCGATTACAGTTAAAAGCTTGCCTTTGCATTCCGTGGTTTGATTAAAATTTTCCAAAATGAAAGTGCGTTAGGAGAGAGAATATATCAATATAAAAATCGAACAAAAAGTGTGATTGTATCCACTTAGCATCTTCCTCAAGTACCTTCTATTGAAGACGTCGCCTATATTAACGGGGTGGTACCCTCCACGCCTATAGTCGCGAGGATCTTCTTGCTCTTCATCGTCCGAACCTAGGACTTCCTCCTGAACGGCCTAAAGTATAGATGCAACAGACTTCTACTACATAACACAAAGAAATAACTTTTAGTTGAACACATGAACAAAGTGGAACTTCAGAACTTTTACCATTTCTTGTTCAAAAGAAGCAACAAAGACTGAACGAACTGCACTGCACTGCACTGCAGTGCCTGCAGTTGTTCAAGGCACATAACGCACATGAGACATCAAATATCGATTAGGAAAAAACGAGAAAGGAACGAGATGCAGACTACTCACCGGTTCCCCGTCTTCGCTGGAACCGCTCCGGTGACCAGCTGATTCGCTGCCTGGACTGCCAGACCAATTATTGTACTCCTCACCAGGTTTGAAATTTTGGAAAGATACTGGTTTGGACCACGGTCCCACATTACCATAATAATCCTCCGGTGCTACATCAAACATTAAATTTCACACTGCCATTCGAAATCAAGATAAAATACAATGCATCAACAGACCCAAAACAAGAACTCACTCTGATAACAATTATCATCTGTTTTCGACTTTTTCATATTAGTATTACCATTCGGAGTAGTATTCTCGACATCACTGAAAAGGAGAGATTTATAGAAAAGGGCTCTTGCGGAGTACGGGATTATAAGTTGTTTCACAGGACAGGAAAATATCAAGAACATGCCTGCAATTACTCCAAAAAAAGGTAAAAAAAAACTTTCTAAAACCCTACCTTCGTTGAAGAAGTGGAGGGTGAGTAGAAATGTTTGTGTCGGATGCATTACCAAACGATTCAAAACTGGATGCAGATGCAGATTCACAACGAAATGTACTTGACGTTACAAAAGATGCTGAACTACTCAAGCACATGGACGCCTCTTCTTCAGCGCATTTCGCTTGTGGAACCAATGAGCAATCCGTGGAAAAGTCAACACCGGAAAGTAGTTCCTCCCGAGCTATTATAAGAGGCGTTACATTAAGAGTGACGAAATCATGCAGTACAACTTTCGTCTCGTGTTCGTTCGTGAAACATGGAGTAAAAAGAACAGTGACAGTATGCTCTGTGTACTCATCGCCATCATTGCCTACTTTCCTTTCCAGACGCAGCTCATCAAATGCCTCTAGACAATTGGAGCTATCATCTTTTCCGTCATAACGTGACGAAACTTCCGGAGCAGGAGTTTCCTTTGCACCGAAAATCAATGAATTCAGCTTCGATGATAGAGCAAGAACGTCGAAGGGGAAATATGGATCATCTAAATGTAAACATCTAGGAGGGTGATTACTAGTAGGCATTTGAAGGCGTTCATCGGTATCAATGAAAGATTGCCACGCAGTCTCTTCAGGAGAGCAATGAGGCGAAAAACTCTCTGTACGACCTATGTTGTTTAAACATGCAGGCGAGGATAGCGAACGTGTTGCTGTCTCATCAGAAGAAGATGAGGAATGGGTAACTTCTGGCTGGTCTTGTTGCCGAGTCGTTGAAAACCATCGATGCAGGAAAGCGACAAACATTACTATCCAGGCGAATATATCAATGTAGCCATCGGAGTAGGAATCGATATGCGGCAAACCCAGTCTGGTGCCGAAGAAGAATGAACACCTGACAGGACTAGATCGCAACTAACAGGTGTCCAACACTTGGAGAGGGCGGTGACTCGAGCGACACCGCACAAGATAGCCGTAGCTAACAAGCGAGGGTAAATATTAACAAAAGCAAATTCTTCGAATGAAATTTGGCAGGTATTTCAATTTCATCGGCAATGGACTGCAGCTAAAACTATTTAAAAAAANAAAAAAACAAAATAAATATCGCAACTCACTCAAAATCACGAGGCGTATCATGGTTGCCATTTAACTGGTTTGATGGACCATTCGCTGGTGCCGATAGTTTGATTTTATTGTTGGCCTGCAACCGCACGCGGGGAGATCATAATGATTGCACAAAACTGTGTTGCATTAGCACAAATGTTTGATTAGAATATCAACACATAAAAGGATAAAAAAACGAAAGGAAAAATGCTACACCGCTACTACTGATGTTGTATTTTTGTGCAATTTAGGAAGTTTGCTGAGCACCCTAACAAAAAAATCGAAACGACGAAATTGAAATTGCCATAGCGACAAGCGTCTATTGGCATTTCTTTGTCGCAAGAATGAAAGGAACTAGTGGGGGATCGATTGCGGAAGTGTGACTACCACTGTCTTGTGTAGGAAATATGCCCAGAATAACAGAAACACAAGTTTACTTTAAGACCTCGACCTATGGCAAAGTGTAAGGAATCGATTTATAATTATAGATCTGTCTAAAATCATTTGCAAAAAAATGAAATCTTTCTCGTTCATACGAAATTTACCTTCTTCTTATTATTCTTTCTCTTCTTCTTTTTCTGCACTGCTAAGACTTTCTTCTCATCTCCGCCCATGACAGCGTCCTACAAAATAGAAACTTCTTTATAGATAAGCACACCAACCGCAGAAAATGATATGCTATCGATTGAAATAAACAAGTTTCTTGCGAATTCGCGAGCGATCTATTGGTGATTATATGGAGCGAAGAGGGAGAGATGGGCATTTTACGAAGCGAGATTCACAAGAGTACAATGAAAGATAACATTAGACCAAATAAAAACATAATCGCCGCAATGTAAAACGAAAAACTGAGAACATAGATATGTAGAGTGACCACCCAAACAACAAACAGACAAAAAGACGTTCCTCCACGGACCTCGCAAGAACTGCTAGCATTAGAGAGAGGGAGATTATCTGATACTAAATAAATAAGAAAAAACACAAAGCTTCGGTAGGTTTTCGTTATGAACCCATGACATCTGCAACCAATTCCTGTTACTTTCAAAATCGATTAACTCTTAGATTCGCATGTCCGCTCGCTGTGAAGTACGGTAGTTTGTGCCAAATGTTGGCGCGTTGCCAAAGAAATAAAATTTGAATTATTTGTGAACAAATGCAATTACAGGAATGATCTTATCCACAAAGTCAACTTCGCTGCTCTTTTCAAGCTTGACCCGACCAGAGGCTTTGTTTTCAATTGTGCTCGAGCGGCTAGTACTTATAATTTTTGCTATGCCTTATTATTGGAAATGCAAACTCGGATATCTCTTAAATAGCAGTCACAGTGGAGAGTAAGGTAACCATCCCTATGGATGCCCACCGCTGGCCGACGCCCGAGTGTCAAGCAAAGCATCTATTAACGCGGGACGGTTCATTGGTATCATGTAAGTTGGTGGGTAATGTTTGGGTGCATTCAAAGTAGCTACGTTTTTACACAGACTGGTCGGTTTTAGACAGATACGTCCGTAAAAACGCAAATACATGCGTAAGAAAGGATTGGTTTGTGCAAAAATAGATGTACCCGTGTTTTTATGCGTATATCTGCGTGAAAACGGANTAGTTTGTGTGGAAACGCATCTACTACGAATGCTACCTCTGACCTGAACACGCTTTACGGCATTCCGAATTGCCGTCTGAGACAGCGTAATACCAAAGTGGAGGGGGAAGTGGGCATGTTGAAGTCAAACACGTAGTCATCATCATTAGATTTGGGGGAGTTTCTACCTGCAAAGCTTGTTAGAAGAGTTTGGAAGCTCGTCTATGTATGGATTTAAAAGTGCGGGCATTAGTGTAGCCCAGAAGCCGTTGGCAAGATGTATAATCCGCTGCAACGGTCAAGGAGAGATTGGTAGTTGATAACTTGAGTACTTCATCACCCATTTAGGTGTTCTCACCAACACTGCTACACATACCAAGAATTACTGTAGATTCTGAGATTATTAAGGGCCATCGTTGTCCAAATTGGAATTGTGGTACTTTTTGTTACATCCTTCAGAAGCCTGAAGAATTCGTTAGCTTAATAGAATCACAGTTTCTTCTTTGTTCTGAAGTATTAATTTACTTTATTCAGATTTCCCTTCACTCCAACTTTGCAGGAGTCCGCGGCTATGAAAACTAGGAACCAGCTTAACAGTTCAAGGCGTTCCTTTCGTACTCGTCCTTCCGTTCAGTTCCCCGTGATTCTTGTTGACAACCATCATGTGAAGGTATATGAACAGTGGGAATTTCGTTCCTTACTAATTACTTGATCGTTCCCTCTGCACAAGTTTGGAAATACAAGAAATGCAACAATTTGANTTATTAAGGGCCATCGTTGTCCAAATTGGAATTGTGGTACTTTTCCTTCAGAAGCCTGAAGAATTCGTTAGCTTAATAGAATCACAGTTTCTTCTTTGTTCTGAAGTATTAATTTACTTTATTCAGTTTTCCCTTCACTCCAACTTTGCAGGAATCCGCGGCTATGAAAACTAGGAACCAGCTTAACAGTTCAAGGCGTTCCTTTCGTACTCGTCCTTCCGTTCAGTTCCCCGTGATTCTAGTGGACAACCATCAAGTAAAGGTATATGAACAGTGAGAATTTCGTTCCTTACTGATTACTTTATCGTTCCCTCTGCACAAGTTTGGAAATACAAGAAATGCAACAATTTGAGAAGTAATACGTAAAATAGTTTAATGCATATCGTCTTTAGCTTTTCGGAGACGACTCGTTTGATGACGACTTTGCATTAAGGTCTCCAGCTACCAGAAAGCCTACCAAAAAGAAGGAAGAACCGCCTAAGGTAAGTTACGCGACAAAAGTTGATAGTTAACTGATGTGTGTCACAAAGTTTTTTTTTTTTTGAGGTATTCACTAATATAACCAATCGGCCGGCGATTGCCGAAGAATTCAATGAAGAGAACGAGCAGGAAAAACTGAATGAGGAGGTTGGTGGAACTCCTTATTTTATAATAGCTCTACTTTTTCGAAGCAATGGCCTTGTTCGTAGTAAATAATTTAAAATTGTTCCTTTCATGATTTCTATTTTTTCAAAACGTCATTTGCGAGTGATGCAGTCTCGTCAGAAATGGAAGCGTGAAAGTTGACATTCTCAAGAGTATAAAGTAAAAAGTATCTGAATGCATGATTACAGTTTACGCCGAGGCATTACCGTTGTTTTGCTACCAGAGAACTCTCATTTTCTCACTGGTAAACATATCTTGCGGGTAGGAATACATAGGTATTAATGTTCAACGATTCAGTAAACACTAAAGGCGTTGGTCATATTCATAAGGGACTTTTGGTATTAGTAGAACTCACATTTACTCTCAGGTAAATCGAAGTGATAGAATTAGAACGTTAGCAACATGTCCTATATTTTATTCAGTGACTTTTGGATCTTATTTTAAGCTAGAACCCATGAGAGCGTTTCTGAATTAGAATTTTCTGAGCTGTTCTGTTTACTATGTGCGGCTTGTGTTCAACTTAGAGAAAGAAGGTTGCATATTCACATGTCAATTAAAACGGCCAAATTAATCGTGTGCATGGTTTCAGTTGAACGCAGCTGCTGATTTTTCGCTGTATATTGAAAACGAGGATGGTGAACGAATGAAGGCTGTTGGAAATAAGCTTGTAAAGTATGATGAATTCTACGGGATAAAGCCAAGTGGTTTGTGTAAACACTTTTTTTCTTTATATTTGTCGAAGTCGCCAACACCTGATTTCGTTTTTCAAGAGAGCAACTCGAGGAAAAAGAGCTTCGAAGAATCTCTTAGTGTAAAAAAATACAATCAGTCGGATGAATATACTAAAAAGCTTTGTAAGGCGATTTGTGCAGCTGCTGGAGTTAGATCAAAAAGTAGGTCTTTACGTTTTTACTGAAGAATTTCTTAAATATGTATGCTGTTTGTTATTCTTGCGTGACGGAACAGTCAACAACATGCTTCTAACTTGCTGGCGTTGTGGTCACTGCTTTCGATCCATCCCTGGTTGGTCAGCGGGTGCCAGATTCATCGGAGAGCATGGCCTTCTCTGGAAGAATGAAAGCGTAGACTTGTTCATAGGCTGGCCACTGCAGGCCAGCATTTGCACATGCTTATGCTCCCACCGGCCACTGCAGGCCAGCATTTGCACATGCTTATGCTCCCACCTTGATACCTTTATCACAATTATCAGCTAGTTTTTATAGGGTTGATCCATATCAAGATGGGATATTTTGCGTGTTGGTCGTATAATAAGAGAGGGCGATAGCCAGAGATATAGCAGCCTAGTTGTTTCATATTGTCTAACTTTCAGAATCTTCCGGCCCATTTACTACACCAAGTGTCAGTGTAGGACCGGCAAAGGAGCGTCTGTCGCACATGAGGCCGCTTAGCCGAGCATCTAAAGGTGAGAGCGTAATACGAGGCCACCTGTGGTGTAGTTGATGGTAGTTGAAGTTCAGATCGAAATTCTATCCTCTAGATAGAAATGGAGATCGAAGTGAAGTAGCAGCATTTCAGTAGCAACTTACTCCTAACTAGAACCGTAATCTAATATGTCGCGCTTTCTCCAAAATATTATTCAACAAAGCTGTCCATATCCATTAGCCAGCTACAATTGATCTTTTTCAAGCACCTGATCCGATAGAGGAACTACCTGAATCAGATTCTGTCGAAACACTTCAAGTTGATACTTCGAATAAAGAAAATGAAGAGGACACAGGCGCCATGGCTACCATGGATTTTGCAACAACACCAAAGGTAGGCTCAATTAAAATTCATCCACTTAAATTTCCCAGCCGCCCTGACCTTGTCAGCTATGTTCGTATTTTATTAAAAACTATATAGGGTCGTCCATCAGCGTCCGAAGCAAGAGAGAGAAGTTTTATGACTGTTGTCGCAGAAAATGGTGAGACATTTGGAATTATCGTAGTTGTTGTGTAGGAAATGCTTACACGTTTCTTGTTTTTGATGAAATTATGTTACAGATGATTTGGCTGGCTCTTCTGTGCGTCCTCATTCTTTACGGAACCTGCCAGCCTCACCGATACCCGATCTGGAGCATATGCAAGAACCGGAATGTTTGAGGACACCACTTCTGGTACTTTAATTTCTAACATCTTCGGCCTTGTCTTGCAGCACAGTGTTTCCGTTCTGGTGTGTTGAGGCTGTATTCTTCGGAGTGGATGTCGCTGTAANAGTTCTATGACTGTTGTCGCACAAAATGGTGAGGCATTTGGAATTATCGTAGTTGTTGTGTAGGAAATGCTTACACGTTTCTTGTTTTCGATGAAATTATGTTACAGATGATTTAGCTGGCACTTCTGTGGGTCCTCATTCTTTGCGGAGCCCACCAGCCTCACCGATACCCGATCTGGAACACATGCAAGAACCGGAATGTTTGAGGACACCACTTCTGGTACTTTAATTTCTAACATCTTCGGCCTTGTCTTGCAGCACAGTGTTTCCGTTTTGGTGTGTTGAGGCTGTATTCTTCGGAGTGGATGTCGCTGTAAGCACAAAAGAGTATGGCTCGAAAACAGCTTCTGAAAAAAGAGCATGGCGATATTGTGGAGCTGGGTTGTTGTGGGTTTTTGGGAACGTTTAGATAGCGCATTCGAAATTGGAAAGTGTTTCTGGTTGCTTTAGTGTTGCTAACAGAAGAAAAATCTGCAGCGTAATTCATTCCGGTGTACTGCAATGGTTGTTTTTCGTTTAAATGTTTTGTTCCCGATTTATTGAAGCCCCTAATCCGTTTTCAACACTTTACCATTTTTCAGAATACTGTTCCTCAAGCTCAGTCTACTCCACTCTCGGAAAGGTTCGAGTATCCGAACTCGAACAGAGCCGCATTAAATCAAGTGAGCAGGAGGGAGAGCTTTGATGTCAGCGACTGCGATATGCCAGCCATTCCATCCACATCTATGGCAAGATCGAAAGGGACTGAACCGGATTCGCCATGTGGAGGTGATCTAGTCATGCAGTATCTAAAAACTTGTAGTTGAAGCGTCTGACAGTAAACTGGGGGCATTGAGTTCTTCAAATCGTAAATATTTTGATTCAGATGAACTCCAAACTTCGTCCGATGATTCAAGACTAGCTGATGCTTTCGACTCGTCTCTACAGCTTGCTCCGCGTAAGTGCTACTAAATATTTCCAGAACTCATTTGTTTTGTGGTTCATCTTTAAGAATCTTACTACACTTCTTTTCCTTAATTCTCTATTGAAGGGCCAGTTATTTTCGTCTTTATGCTTCTAAAAATTATTTTCGAATTTTAGGCCATGATAATTCGTGTGGATCAGTGGACACATTAGCGGAAGTGCGTACTGAGCTCAGTGTAAGCCTTAAAATCAAGATTTCGAGTTACATTTTCGATCTCCATATCTCGAATTGTTCCAATTTTTGCTCTCGACTTCCAATATGAGGTCACAATTCAGATACCACAAAATAGCATAAGCTCCGTGTTTCATTGTTGAGGTGGAGATCAGGGAAGATTTCTTCCCCTCAATTAATGACTTCAGTTTTGTTCAGTAGACTTTTCTTCGTAGCATATCCCTACCTCTCACAAAGCTACTGTATTTTCGTTGTAGAACGCTGGACGTAACGCTTCCTCTATGACGATGAATACAACGTACAGAAACATATCTTGTTTGAGGAATTCATCTTTTGTAAGTTCTCTATCTATAATATCTGGTTATTAAATTCTATGCATAATAGTTCAGATTGACATACCCTATTATCTGCATGGTTGTGCTGATTTCAATACCAGTACGCCACTGTCACAGCTCTTATTTGTCATCGGTCAGCCTAGAGTAATTGAATGGCAGAATCTCCCGAAGGAGTAAGTCTTTTTGATGTCTCAATATGACATAAAATAGGCTTAACTTTTTCTTCAATGTCTTCTAATTATAAGTAGGTGAATCATTTTGCGTCGGATTTTCTTCAACGGTGTTCAGTTGTTGTTGTGTGAATATTGTAAGGGAAGGAGGGAAAAAAGGTCTATGTAAATAATTACGTTCATGACTATGTTTTCGAAAAATATTGTTTCCTGGAATGCTGGGTTCACTTATGTTTCTACCACAATTCGGCAGTAGAGATACTATAGGCGCAACCAGCAAGTTCCCACCCTCAATGAACTAGTGAAGTCAGCCCAAATCTTGCTGCTATCGCCAGCTGAACAATTCAATGTGGTTTTTCATCTTTTTCATCAAGTTAAACTAACATCTTTACTCGGATTTATCCCAAATTAAGCGGCTCCTATTCAAAATGATTATCCTCAATGCGATATCCTACAGTACCAGTGAATACAACTCCATCATCTGAAAGCGTCCTGATAATGTTTTTTACAGTGTGTTCTGCGGTCCACGTAAACTCGGCGAAGGTGTCTATGGTGAAGTGTTTGCCACCACATATAACGGTGAGCCTACCGCTCTAAAGGTAAACTTCAATTTCTTTGACANAGCTCTTCTCCCAAAATCTTTCGTTCTTGTATCCACCTACCAGTTTTTTTTTTGAGATGCAGTGATGAAGCGTGATATGCGATTTGCTCTTTTGGTGAAATATTCTTTTCCTTGACACACGCATGTACTTTGTAATATTTGACACATAATACATAATTGATTCCACTCACTCGGTCTCTTTTCTTAAGGTCATACCTTTTCAAGGCGATACAATTGTTTATAAAGAGAAGGTCAATGGAGAATATCTGCTTGACGCGACGAGCATCCTTCCAGAGGTATGTTATTCGGCATCATTTTTCTTAGTTTGCAACGCGTGGGCTATGAGATTAGTGCCTTATTATTGAAAATAGTTGGAGGAGGTTACCCTTGAAATCAAGCACTATTTGTGAGTCAATATGAATAGAAAATTTGAACGAAAATATGATGGAATTCGTTAAATTAGTAATCTTGTGGTATCAGCGACCGCTCATCCTTAAATGGAGGGGACTAAACGGCGGTTTGGGGTGGATGTTGAGGTCTTGGAACTCGGTTTTCGTCCTATTCCGATCAGTGGAAGGATTTTTCATTCTGATTTTAATTTTTTAGGTTCTAATAAATCGTGAACTTTCCGCTCTCTTTGATCCCTCTGCGGACTTTAGTACTCCGAATTTCATTAAATTGCTCCATACCCATGTCGTCAAAGGTGGTTGTCTTTTTCTTTCAAAATATGAATGAAAACAATGAAAATAACTGTACTTATTGTAGGGCTGTACCCTGAGGAATTTATGAAAGCTTGGAATGAATTTGATGAAGCGAATGGATCAGAAAATGATCCTCCATCAAATTATGCCAGTGAGCAACAACTCTTTGTGGCAATGGGGATGGCCATGGGGGGCGTTGATCTGGAGCATTATCAGGTATTACATTGACGAAGCATTGTAAAATGGCGCTGTTCATTATTTCATTTTCTTTATTTTTGCGTTGTAATGTTTTTGTAACTCTGAGTTTCCTGGAGGGGGACTTTGCTTGTCAGAAGAGGAGGGCAGGTCGTGGTTTGGGCCGGAAAGTGTTCCCGGCCCAAACCACGACTTTGGGCCGGAAAGTGTTCCCGAATTTTTTTCTTATATTACATCCATTTACGTGGATACTTCGAAGGTTGCTGAGTAAACTCGATCGTAATTAGAATGGCGACTCGTTTTAATTTTGCTCGTCACTTGATGAACCGTTCTCTTTTTATGTTTATTTGCAAGCAGGGTCTGCCTCTTTCCCTTGGGCTGATAAGTAAGCTTTTGAGGGCTAAAGAAAGAGTTTATGCAAGGAATCAACTGCAGTGATGAAAAAAAGCCTCGAAGATCAGGGCATGATGACATTACAAAGTTCTGGATAAGAGTTTTCAATGGAAAATTATTGGAGCTTATTTCCAGATGAAGAACGAAGATCAGGTGGTGTCAGTATTGCTGCAGGTTGCCCTTTCTCTAGTTGTTGCCGAAGAGCGCCTTCAATTCGAACATCGGGATCTGCATATTGGGAATGCTCTCGTCCTGGAAAGCAATGATGATGTGGAGTACGTCTCATGGTTTTAACTCGTAGAACGCGTGCTAATAGCCTACAATAGCCACTGAAATCCCATCTCTTGGGCTCTTTTATTAATGTAAATCATAACTCGCCTCCGGCTCTTTGCATAGTCTTCGATGGGTCGATAAGATATGGAGAGTTCTGACGTTCGTGGGAATATAATTTTCAAATTCTCTTTCGTTCCCTAATTTCCCTTGTCAGTTAGATACGATTGTATTGGTGAAGAATTCATGTTTGATGATTAGTGTGTAATATTCTTAAGATATCGATATGGTGGTGGCGATATGGTCCTCCGCTCATACGGTTTAAAAGTACATCTGATCGATTTCACGCTTAGCCGCTTGAGCAAAGGTTAGTTTCATATAAAACCTTTTTTCCCATCCACTTTTCGATGAAGAATAGAAGGGAAATGTAATTCGGTTGCTCCAGCTCTCTATGTCGAAGATAGGGTCTGAAAAGAAGTTAAAACATGCTACGATTTTGTTCATTTATTTAAGAATCCACTTTTTCGTTTACCAAACGAAAGATCTCGGCGGCACTCGGTCAAGATATCACCAAAATTAACGCTGTGAGAGCCGGACAGACGGTTGCCTGTGGAGGCCACGAGGGTATCATTATCATACAGTAACGGAACATGGGTTGCTCTTTTTTTGTGTGACTTTACAGTTGTTTCATCCTTCAGCCGTCTCTCTCGAATTTCTCTTCCTTTTGTAGAATTCTTCTCATAACGTGACCTTGTGCTGAGAATTTCGAAACTGCCTCTTCTCTCCGTTTTCATATTGAGAAAACATAAGTAACCGGTTTCATCAATGATTTTACAATGATCGCTATCGCTTTGAGACCGATCAGCCCTTGCTGCATTCAAGATTGTCGCAAAAATGTAGTTTTTGATTCCGCATTTTTTTCGATTTCGAATTCATGCCGAATGTAGCTTAAACGAGCATTCAGGAAAATTGAGGAAAAGCTCTTCGTTTTTGAAACACAGAGTAGAATAAATGGAAGAGATGAAAAAATGGTATTGTAGGTGTATATGACGCTTTGTACTGCAGTGTTGCATTCTTTTAAAACACAAGTTTTTTTTTCAGAAGGGACCACAATATTTCGAGATCTCGAGAGCGACGAAGAGCTCTTTGCTGGTAGTGGTGATTACCAGTTTGATATCTACAGAATGATGAGACACTCGAATGAGTACGTTGTTTCAGAAGAATTTAACGATTACATAGGGCTCAAAATATCTTCATAAAGAAGGAAAATACATATTTTTACATACTCATGTATCTATATATGTATACACATATATATTGTAGTATCTGCTACCTTTCTTAATTCTAATTTTATTATACGGTGAATTTTTATTCATAAAACTTAGTAAACTGAAGTGAATCGTATTGGGAAGGTTCAAGTAGGTACTGCTGGTACGACAAAATTCCGAACTGGTCAGGACGTACCATACCATGGAAAAACTTCAGCACCGGCAACTACAAATACAAACTCTTTGAATATTCTTGTAGCCGAACTGTCGTAATGCTCTCCTGTTAATTTATTGTGCTAGTTACAAAACGAATAATCGCATTTGGAAATCTGATTGTGTGGTGCTTCGATATTCTGTTGGTAAAGCAAAAGATATATAATCACTCGAAGTATTGATTTTCTACATCTATGATCTTACAGGGGTGATTGGCTAGCGTTTAATCCCAAGTCAAACTGCTTCTGGATGCACTACTTGGCCGTACAGTTGATAAGTAAGCGAAAATGTAAGAAGGCTATACCAAAAAAACGACAACGTGTGAGTTAAATGTTATATTTTCATAGCCATTACGATTTTGGGAGAATAGTCCCAACCAAACGAAAAAGCAAAGAAATCATTCCAGGAGCTGCAGAAAATGTGGGACAATTTGCTTAGATTTGAAAGCGTGAAAGAATTGTTTACTCATGATGATTTCTATGACATACTGCAGCGACATCTCATCATAAAGCCACAATCGATCCAAATTGAATGAGGTTGTAGTGAAGTTCGAATTCCTTATATCAAGATATACATATGTGTATAAGATACACGCGTAATATACAAGATCATTACTTATTTAGTATCATATTCGTTCTTCTACTTACTACTTTGCACCATTTATACAGTATTTGCTCAAGGATAACGATATCAATTATGATCTTGAATACATATTATTCTTGTAGAAGTATTTATGAAGCTTTGAGTAATCAAACTTATTAACCATAGTGAATTGAGTTTTATATTCATGATAGTGTTGTTCTGCTCGTAAGATTTTTTTCACAAAATCGCCGAGATATTTTAAATTGGTTGTTAAGAAGAAGAAAAAAGTTAGGTTTGATTTCATTAATACTGTTGGCTCATCTCAATCGGTTCAGTTTTTGCTCAGTGTTCAATAATTATGTAAATATGTAGACGTCTCTCATGCCCTGTAAAACATGCACCTCAGTTGACATCGTTCACAGTAGGAACTATGAAGCTCTTATACAAAGGTCATCTTCATTAGAAAAACATTCTGATGACGTATGTCATCCCACGCTTACTCTATCGGGTCTTACTGTTTCGATGAAGTTGAATTCCAATCAGCATGACTCATCTCATTCGCTTTCTATTGTTCTACCACCCTTTCATATCTTTTCGTATTATGGCATTTAGTTTGCGAGCACTCTCTCGAAGAATAAATAATGATGTGATCGTGGCCTTATTTGGGCTTGGAAAAAAATTTTGGGCTTTGGAGAAAAGGGTTGGTTGAGATTAGCGACCTCACTGCGCTTTGGTCCCTTCCGCTGGATTATTACAGCAGATATTTTTTTAAATGTTAAAAATCAGGCTCACTAACTGCCGGTCGATCTGAGACCCTCGGTCTGAGGAATCGCAGATGGTGGGCAATGAAGCAGGAGTTTCTCTTACAGTACAATCTAAATGGATACCGTCAACGTGAGGAAAAAAATAAAATTCAGTTCAGCAAAATAGGAAATTTCGAATTGTAAAACACGAAGGCAAAATTACAGACCACCACCATTTTTTGGAGGCATTTAAAGGGCCTTCATGCTTTGATTATATGCCTTTTTATCAGGCTCCATAGAAAAGGTTGGCTGCATCATTCGACCTCGTAACATTGGAGAACTGACCGAGAAAGAGCGAAACGCATGGAAACTATGAAACCGTACAAAAACTAACGTACTTTCAAACAACTTTTTTGGTCTCTCCGCGACAATATCGACGCGTGGCTTTCAAGTACCACCGGTTAGCTCGAATACAACGTTTTTTGACGGTGTACCGCTGAGATGTGACAGCAGCCGACCGGTTCGTTGAAATGTTATCTGATTCTGCGCACGAACTCTTGGAACAATTATATGTGTGATGTTGGTTGGTCCCCTCTAATCTTTAAACCCATCGATTTCTTCCCGTACAATTCGATTACATTCAGACCATCTATTGACGAGTGACCTCCACAATAACCTGTGCTCCTTCTCGTTCTATGTTTTCTCGCCCCGTATCTGATAGCTTTTTTGCAGTTCAATGTATCCGATTTACTTTTTGGCTACTTATTTGATAAGGTTGCTCAATTGTTTTGAGTAGTCATCAAGAGTGTGCTGAGAACATCTAGCGCATCGCAGTGGGCGAGCCGGGTTTCAATAGTTTTCGTTTTTAATAGAGTTCGAACAACGGCCGGCGCTTTCCGAGTTATGGGCTGGACCACTTCTTTACTGAGAACCTCTCCACCAGTGACATCATTTAATGGGGTTGCTCAAGTACCGTTACTCCATGGCAAATACTTGATCTATTTGGTCTATGGGTCCTTTGGTCCATTTTTGTTGATTGATTCTTTTTACCAGCTCAGTCTCATGAGTGATGAATAAGTTGGAAGGGCATTAAATATTAGAAAATTTGGAAAATACTCATACTAGTTTGAACTCCTCGCAAGATTTGTTTAGTTCCTAGGAGCTCGGATTCAGAGATGATTTACTTTTTGGGATGTAGTTCAAAGATTTCGTTCTTTTGATTTTGGGTGTTGATCAATTCCGTCTAAAGGATGCGCCCCACATTCGACTCTCATCAAGATCGTAGTGGCGGTTTGAATGCGTAGGAATATTAAGTGGTCTTTGCAACGACTTGCGGTGTCTAGCCGATGGACAAGTCAGTGCTTTTATACTCCTAGACAAGTTGGGTATCAATTAACCGACCGAAAGGACCAATCAGTACGCGATTCGAATCCAAGATATGGTGGTTTGATAGTGCTCTACTTGCCACTGCACCACCTTCGTCAAAAATTTCAAATGTTCCTTTCCAAAAGCAGAATTTTTTTCTAAGAAATCGCTCCCTATAGAGCTGTACTGGAATGTGGAATATTAATATTTTCTAAACCTAGTGAAACTAAACCTTAGGCAATTGACGCACATGCTTGCTCAATATGAATGGGTTGATTTCATGATTTATTCTTCGCCAACACAAACATTTGGTGAAATTAGAAATTCCATCTGGCATTGTTTACCCCTGATGACCTCAAAAAGAACATTTTTAAGGAGCTTGTTCGTGAATAAGAAGTATTGCTCTCGTTTCTGCTTTTGTTCTATTATCGAAATGGCTTTGTGGTCTTCTGAAATGTTACCTCTGATGTCTTGAATTGTGAATGGGGCTTTCACCAAGTTTGACAGCAACTTTATTAAGCTAACCGTAAGGATAGAGTGTTTGGGTCGAGCAGTCACGTTTTCGGGATACGCCCTGCATTCAACTTCCATTCAGAATCGTAGTGGCGTATTATATAAGAATGTGGCCTATTCAGTGACTAGAGGTGATCACCCGATGTTCAAAGCCAGTGCCTTTATCCTCCCGCACGATTCTGGTGGCAATTCACTAACCCGAGAGGGATGGAAGACTTTTTTGACCAGGGCGGGTTTTAGCCGGGCCATGCGTGCACCACTGGAAGTGCGCCACTTTCCGCTAGACTACCTCCCTCCTCAGTGATGTAAGCGATTATATGACAGACAAACAGGTCTTGTGGGTTCAATCCTTCGCTGGGCGGTGCTCCCAAACTTCAGTGAACTTCTCTTGTTGCTGAAGCCACGTATTTCGTTCGTACTTATTCTCTTTATGAGGGGTATTCTATCATTGAACTATTGTCCCAAGAAGTTTACTCAAGAAAGATAGGCGGCGCCCTACATACAAGAATTTTGTTGAATGCCAAACATTCCTGCCAACCTCATAAATCATTTCGCTTAGAAACCAGTTTTTAAAGGGTAGAAGTTCCCCTTGATGGCATCAAATTGATTTATGNCAAACTTCAGTGAACTTCTCTTGTTGCTGAAGCCACGTATTTCGTTCGTACTTATTCTCTTTATGAGGGGTATTCTATCATTGAATTATTGTCTCAAGAAGTTTACTCAAGAAAGATAGGCGGCGCCCCACTTACAAGAATTTTGTTGAATGCCAAACATTCCTGCCAACCTCATAAATCATTTCGCTTAGAAACCAGTTTTTAAGTGGATAAAAGTTCCCCTTGATGGCATCAAATTGATTTATGTTGCTAGGAATTTTCTCCTTTTCTCCGAAGGCTCTGAAGAAAAGTTTTTTCTCTCCTCTGATATCCCGAATGGATGCAGAGAGAAATTTCTTCCTCTGTTAGCATAGCTTATCGAGCATGAAGAATGAAGTCGCTAGTCTTTAGGAGCCCTCTTAATCAATTCCATTTTGGGATGCGCCCTGCATTCAACTTTCATTCAGACTCGTGTAGTGGCGTTTTGAAAGCGTATGTAGCCTATACAATGACTTGCAGTGGCCACCAGATGCACAAGCTATGCTTTCATCTTTACAGAAGAATCTGCTACTTCAAGCTGAACCAGGATCGATGGAAGGCTTGGTTGGTTTGTGCGGGTACCAATCCGGGATTCGATCCTTGGACCATTTGCATGCGGCAGTGCGTCACTTGGCATTACACTACCTCTGTCGTATTTTGGCATTTTTTTGAGAATTTCTGCTTGACTTGTTTTCCCTCCTTCACCCTTATGATGAGAAAAGAAGGGAAATACATATTCATAAGCTAAGCTGTTTTGCTGGGAAACTTCAAATGTATAGGAGCCCATCACTGTCTAACCGTCCTGATGCAGGGATATTCTTCAATATATGCGAATATCTGGCTCAATTTTTTCTCCACCTAACCGCTCTTTTCTTCTTTCCCTTCCCAATTATTCTGGGCACTCAAAATTTTCCCTAAAAGCTTTCCCTTTGTCGATTGTGAGTGCATTGTGTGAGTGTGAATGACTCAGCTCGAACAATCGCAGTGTAATGCTGTATAATCACCGACAGCATAGCTGAAAGTGATTTTTGGCATTTCTTTGGTTAGCCAGTACTGATTCTTGCAGTAATCTAACTCATGACTCAGTTCCATTCCAGTTTAAAGGTCTATTTAAACTGCATATGAACTGTGTTTTTCGCTCCAACCTTTCAATTGCTTTATGTTCGTTTCTTTCCAAATTATAAAATGGTTAGGTTCGACTTCGCTCAGATAGGTGGTAGCAGGCCAGGCTCAGTAAATACCTCAATCGGGTAGGGGAGGTTCGTCCCGTAGAATGAAGATTGTGCGAACTTGCTCGAGAATTTACAACGGTCACACTTCTGAATGATGTAAAGCCATAAGAAAGGCTTTGTAGGATAGGAATCCTCATCCTGTTCACTTTAGATAACATTTTGTACATCCACCTCATAAATGCTTTATTGCTGAATGCTACTTCTGCTCCAGTTTTGTTCTACATTCATTTGGAGAGAAGGAATTCAATCATTGGCTTGGTAAATATTAAAGGCACAGTTCACGATAATTTTGGGGTATGTTGTCCGAGACGAATAGTAAAAGTGGTAGTTTAGAGTAGTTCAGAAAATGCAATGAAAACGCGGAGATCGTCTCATTTAGAGAAATGTAAAGCTTCAAAAAATTACCCTAAAATTCCATAGATAAGAGCGGTTGAAACTACCGGTGAAAAATGAANTGGAATGAAATTG